TCCTCAATATTGTGAATAGTCAAATTTGACTTTTTTCAATTCAATATTATTTTTGATAGTAGTTTTGGATGAATGAATTATTGGTGTCCAAGGTTTGAGAGTGGTTGATGCAAGTATTATACCAAAACTGATATCTGGAAATACGAATATACCAGTCATAGCCATGGCTGAGCGCGCTGCTGATTTAATTAAAAATGGAAGTTAATAGCTTTAACATCATCTTTTCTGAGAACAAACGCGTACAGGTTTTCACAAAAAAGTAACTTTGTTATGACATTCAAGTTTTTACATAATTTGCACTCGATTTCGGAAATTGGATGATTATTACTAAACTGTAAAATTAGAAATTTGACAATGTCAATGAACAAGAAGAATATTTTTCAGAATAGTCGTACCCAAATCGTACCTAGATGGTTTTTCTTTAATTTCATATCTGGGCATACAGCAATTAAAGGACTTCTAGGAAAATTGCACCGCAGTTCAATTTTTTATGATTTGACATACTACGAGATGAGATACATCATTGTCTTGTACTTATATTATGAGGAATCATCCTGAAATCGCCGTCGCCGCGGATTCGTATGTGTTAAAGTGTTATAGTGAAAACGTGCACAATTGAGGATGAAGAAGTGAGAATGCGAGTGGAAAACTTCTTCACACACTTCACCCTCACTTCTCCATCCTCACTCTCACCCTCACTCGCCGCGAATTCGTATATGCTAAAGTGTTAACACTTTAACATTGAATGCGCGGCGACGGCGATTTCCGGATGTTATGTATTATGAGACAGGACTGTTTGTGGTCATATTGATCTTTTTCATTTTTCTTTTCAAACTAATGTCAATAGCAACGGTGGAACAGATGCTCAGGTGGCCTCAGCTGTGTGGCAGATATCGTCCGATAAACTTCCAAAAAAGTATGCCTCGGTTTTAGTCCAAACGTAACTGGTATTAAAAGACACTTTCGTTTAAATACGCCAATTTCTCTTTCCGTGCCTACTGTAAAAACAAAAAAGCTCTCAGACTAATACGTTTGGATACTGACCTGACCATGTTTTATACAGAGTGGGTGAAACAACAGTTTTTGAGAATCACGTTTTCTAACAGATCTGTTTTAAAACCGAAAGAGGTTCAGCAAAACCAAGTCAGCATCGCACAGTCAACGCTTAAACTCCCTCAGTCACCTTAGTGAAACTTCTTGCAACCAAGTTCTTGACTTCTTCTATGTTTTTAGTAATATCTTCGTAAGGAAATGTAAAAAGATTCCAAGAACATAAGATCTTGAAAGCCGTGAAGTTAGGTTATAAATCGATTTCGGGTTGGGACTATTTTTGTTAGAAAGGCCCTAACGAGTGGTGAAATATCCCAACCTGGTTCATCCCCATGGTGCTTTATAGCTGAGATACTGAATTTTTAGTCAGTTTTTGCCTATAGAGCTTGGGTTTCGAGCAAAATCCGACTTTCGAATTTTGATTTCAAACTTGCCACACTTGTAGCTCATGGTCATAGTATGTTCCAACTATCGGCCAATATCTTTATTATCAAATCTAAGCAAAGTGTTTGAGATGTTGGTACAAAAATTATTATTAAATCACCTGAATAAAAGCTGCTTTTTCTCGCATGTACAGTTTGGTTTTCGACCTCATTCCTGGACGATAGATGCTTTGTTAGATGTTACTCTTGAGTTGGCAAAACTATTAGAAAGAAAGGGTATATCAGTTGGTATAGCTTTCGATTTTGCTAAAGCGTTTGATAGGGTTAGTCATAGAATTTTGTTAGAAAAGCTAGCTAGGACAGGCGTGACCGATGCACTCCTCCAATGGTTTGAATCGTATCTGACCAATCGTGAACAAATAGTGGTTATAAATGATAGTAAATCCAAAGCAGCAAATGTAACTTCTGGTGTACTCCAGGGAAGTATTCTGGGGCCACTTTTATTCTTAATCTTTATCAACGTCTTGAGTCAGACATTTCCACTTAATGTTACTGCATCTCTTTTCGCTGACGATATGTTCAGCCTCATCCCGTTACAAAACTTTCAAGATTTTACAGTAGTCCAAAAATTTCTTGATATTATGTCAGATTGGTGTGCATAAAATGATATTGAATTAAACATAGAGAAATATTTTTATATGCTGTTTTCGAATTATAAACTACCAGAAAATCATCCCCCAATCTATCTCTTAGGAAAAGCGCTTTCACTTGATAAAAACATTAAGTTACTAGGAATACACCTTTCTTCAGATCTCATTGGGAAACATCACTTAGAAGAAACTAGTAAAAGGTGCAGGCAAATGTTAAATGCGCTAAATCGAACTTTTAAACATGCACCAGATTTTATAAGACTTCAGATATACAAAGCATGTATTCTTCCTATGATGGACTATTGCCCGATTGTTTTTGATAACGATTATAAGACACATCTTCACTTATTAACATCTATTGAAAAGTCAGCTGCACGTATAATCACTAACAACTATCACTCTAATAACTTACTTCTTTTCTTATTCAACAACTGAACCTACCCGATTTAGAAACTAGACGAAAATATTTTAGATTAGTCTTTTTCCACAAAATGATTATAGGACGTACTGCACTATCTGCTTTCTCCCTCGTAAACCTCTAACAACTCGTACATCTGAACGAATTTCAAATCGTTGTGCTTGGGAGGTGCCAAAATCCAAACGAAAGAACACAAAGTCCTCATTTATACCTAAAACAATTTCCCAGTGGAATGTATTGCCTAGAGAGGTAATTTCGGAATTCTCAATTCGAGCTTTCAAACGTGCCTTGCGTAAACATCTCCAGTTGTAATATCAGTAGTCATAAGCCATTTTCTTCTCTTTTTTTCCTTTTTGTTTTATTGTTTACTTTTTTCTTCATTTATTGTTTATTTTTTTTTCGTCAAACTTAATTTTAATGGTATGACGTGGTCAAAGTTATTAGGCAACTTTTTGTCATTACCACTGTCATTTAACATCACTGACTTAAAATAAGTTGATTGATTGATTGATTGACGACGGAAAAATATTCGATGCTACTTGGCCTAGGATTGCAATTTTCTAAAAAAAGAGGAATGAAAGAGGATTCGTAATTTTTCTCAAAGAAGATTTGAAGTATAAAACGAGGAATGAATTTTTCAGGCTGAAAACCGCTGTGACATACATTTTTGGTCAAAACCCAACTTATCGAACATCAAGTGTCTGTATGAAATGCTTGTTCTTCTGAAAAATTGAAGTTTTTCGCCAAAAATCATATGAATCAAATCTGAAATAATAAAATTAATAAATCATCTGAAATAATAAATAATAAATCAGAAACAAATCAATACTAAAATGTAATTGTTCCTAAACACAACAGGATATACACCATTGAATCAACGCCGAAGCTAATTTAATGAGGGATGGAGCAGTCATTTGCACTTTTTCGATTCGTCTTTGCATGGGCAAAAACAATATGAACAGCTTTTTGAAATTCCTTTCCGTTGCTGAAAAGATTCGTTTAAACTGTACAAAAACCATAAGCGTTCTTACAATTAAAACCCAAGAAATAGAAAAAGGAAAAATAATGCATAACATAAGTGTACTTTAACAGATATATCTGACTAAATTAAAGATCAACTATTAAACTACTTTAACTGTCCTCACTAGAAATCTAATGCACAAATTGTTCAATTAGATTGCTACATTTTCCCCAACTGTTCTTACATCACTGTTCTATTTATTTGATGGTTTTTAATTTTTACAACAGCTACTTACAGAAAAAACAGCTACTTGTACATTCGCAAATTAATATTAGATTCCACCCCACATGGTAAGATCCGACGTTGTTCCTTCAATGCAGAAAAAACGAACTGTTATATGAAATACGAAATTATTGCTAGTGTAATTTCATCCGACGCCATCATTGATCCAACCATATCTAGCACGTATAGCAGTATTTCATGTCCTGGTTCAACTGCATCCCGGTTCATTTCTCTCAAGCCTTCCCCCAATAACACTGAAATACGAACCTCCATATACCCGTCATACTAACATTAACCTGCAATCTCTCATTTAGTTTGATTTTAAATCTAAATTAAAAACTTGTTTAAAACTGAAAAGTAATGTTTTTTTGCGTAAGAAAGCCATATCGAGGTTTCACATGTTCCATTTTTGGAAGTGGTTGACCCAAAACCAAGTATTAAAGCCTCGGGGACTTAAAGGGTTAAAAAGATGTAAGATTATTTCAAAAAACCTATGCTTCAAGGCAATCTGAAGCAGAGACATTTTATTAGTGGTTAGTTAAACCTGTTTGAAAACTACAGTTAAAATCTAGCTTAAACGCACAACCCATCCAAACTGTGGTTTAAAAAAGATTTCCAAAGTGATTTGTTTAAGAAAAGATGTTTTGAATTTTCTTTATTTATTAATATGTAGTATCTGAACGTATCTGAAACCGTCAACTTTTATCTACCAGGAAGAAGTTAAGGTTTAGCATGAAAAAATCGGAAACTATTTGCTCGCGTTCGTTTTTGTGACAGTTTAATCACAGTATGACAAACACTTCTTGGATGAAATGAGGCCAAGTTAATGTATTTTTGTACGATCGATCCGAAAGTATTAATATTTTAAATGAATTATAAAACTAAAGATCTTTTGAAGTGTATACATGAGTCGGCAAAATTAGAGAAGCTTCCCAGTACAATTACAGTTGACACTCTCTATGTTTTACAATCAAGCTTAAACTCGAAAGGTAATTCTTACAACTATTTTCAACGATACTTACCTCTCTGCTATATTCAGACGTGTGGAAATTCGATAATTTCAAATGAAAAAACTATGGGATAAAAACCTTGAAAACTGATGACATTCCGATTTTCAAAACTCATTATTATGTCTCAGAAAATGAATTAAACAAAGATCTACCATGGAACGAAAAATTTCAAAAAAAGATTTCTATCTTGATCAAGGATCCGAGCATTGCTGTCGTCTATTACACTGGTGCGTGTAGAAAGCCATTATGGTTTGCACGTTAATATGTGATTTATTCCTGGGAAATATTGCAAACGCTGCGATGAATGAGAAGCCTACTGTTTCAATCATGAAAATGATTGATGAACAATTGAAACAGGTTGAAGCCAACAGAGTCTATCAGAATTTGACTGCAAACAATGAAGCGGTAACAACAACAATCAACAAAAAAACTGTACAAAATCGTCGAAATGAAGTTCTCCAACACTTACGTTTATCACATGATGAAATGTACAGTCTCTACTTGATTGGTTCCCAATTTCCAAATGCTGTCCATCGTCTGATCCATCTTCCAAAATTAATCGTGGTATTTGGCAACAATGAAATGATTGTCATTTTTAACAAATTATTACTGTCGTCAAGAGAAAAAATTATTTTATAGTACGATACCACGATTAACATCTGCGACGGCTACGTGAGGTATAAGAAACAAGTCTTTCAATTTCTTTTCTATTCATCTTGTTCAATTTTAGTTCATTAGTTTTTCGTAATATGGCATTTCAAAACAATCCAGTCATGTCGTTAATGTTTTTTATTCACGAAACAAAACATGAAGAATGCCATTTAGAGTTTGTGCAAAAGCTGAAGAAATTGTGTCCGATGATCAATATAAAATGTTGCCTAGTAACCGATAATGAAGCTGGGTTCAAAAATTGTTTTCAAAACCAGTTTCCTATGATGCAACAACTTCGCTGCTGGACCCATTTAGTCAAGAACATCTATCAAAATACAACAAAACAAAAAGTAACAGTAATTGCAACTACAAACGATGAATCAGGTCAAGATGAAAACGAATCGATGATCGGTAAAGGTTAATACGTCAATTTCTGTGTAATAACCAACATTTTTTCCAGATGATCCAAACAGCGAACAAATGGATGACAACAACGACAGCAAACACATTTATCATACTGATGAAGGTGAGGAGATCTGTAAGATAACTTGATAAACTACATGTTACTTTCATGCCAGAACTGGAAGAAATGATCGAAAGTGATCATATTCTCACAGCGATCGAACATGGCCATGCTTATCACAGCCTATACACGGTGAACGAAGAAACTACAAGACAATTCGCACGCAGATACAGCAAAGAAATAAGATATTTATTAGCATCCGAAACATATGACGAGTTCCAAGAATTGCTCCCACGTTTTCAGTTGGACTGGTCAAGTTCATTCGTCGCGTATTTCAACAAAAAGGTTAAACCAGATATTCATGAACTCGGTAAGCATGACCTTAAAAACAAGCAATGTCATGCGCATTCTACGCAAACTAAACAGATCCTTCCCATTAGAACTTCTGAATAATTTCTAATTAGTTCAAACTAATTGCAAAATTCAAAAGAATTTAAATCGAAAACAGTACAGATCAATTAAAAAATATATTTGCATTCAGAATTAATTAAAACTAATTTAAAATTCTGAATGAAAATGCAATAAAAATTTCGAAATTAATTTATATTAATTACAAAAAGCGAAAAAAATCAAAATTAATTTTCCTTACTACCAAATTAAAACAGGTCTCACATTAAATTCGTGCAAGTTAATTTTTAATTCTTAATTTGTTTAAATTAGTTTATAAAGTTCAAATAATTAACGCCTTTTCAAATTAATTTAAAGC